ACTGTGAGTCGACTTGTTCGATTGTTTATACACATAGATGGCTACACTTGTACTAAGTATCCAATGACCCAATTACAGTACTGCCTGTCTCGCCCGTTCACCCCTTTCATCGATTTACGAAAATATTTAACGTTATCCTAATTTACTGTTAAAAATAACACCATCTATATTTATAGCACTAGTAAAAATACGTGTTTTCCCGCCAATTCAAGGAAAGGTGAAATCAGGACTAGCAGAGCCATCTGTGGACAGAGATATTTCACAAAAATATTTTTAAAAATGAGTACTGCATTTCCCCCATTTTTTGTTCATTTTCCCCGGCGGCAATGGGTTAAAAAGTAAGACAACAATCTCGAATTCCTCCTGGATCCCATCTTCAGGTCTGAAAAGGAAAAGGCGAAGAAGAATTATAAATGGGGGAGAGGAGAAATAACATGATAAAAGCAGGGCAGGCAAGGTCAGGTAAACGGTCGTGAAGGGAGGTCAGATGTCTCACTTTTTGAATGAATTTAGTTTGTGCAGCGTGGAGTTATCATTAATATTACTGATATTATTATTATCATTGTTGTTGTTGTTATTATTATTATTATTATTATTATTACTATCTTCATTATCATTATCATTACTATCACCATTATTATCGTTATCATTATTATCATTATTACTATCATTATTATTATCATTATTATCATTATTACCATCATTATTATCATTATTATTATCATTATTACTATCTTTAGTATCATCAATTATTATCATTACTACTATCATTATCATTTCATTATCATTATTATCATTATTACTATCATTTTTATTATCATTATCATTATTACTATCATTATTATCATTATCATTACTATAATTATTATTATCATTATCATTATTATTATCATTATCATTATTACTATCATTATTATTATCATTATCATTATTACTATCATTATTATCATCATTATTATTACTATCATTATTATTATTATTGCTATCATTATTTTTACCATTATCATTATTACTATCCTTATTATTATCATTATCATTATTATTATCATTATCATTATTACTATAATTATTATTATCATTATCATCATTATTATCATTATCATTATTACTATCATTATTATTGTGCTTATTATTACTTATCAGCATGCAACTCCAACCGTACCCCATCCACATTCTTGAACCTTGACAAATGCACATTCACAGTTGTTCCCGCGTGGACGTCTCGAGAGCCTAGAGATAAGAAGATTAATCCGTGGTGAGTGAATAAGACCAAAATAGAAGGTAACTGATTACCTGGAGTCAAGTGGCCCGGGCGTTTAAGAGGCAGAGGCGAGAGTAATATATACCGGTGGAGAGGACCTAACAGCTGGACGCGGTTGCTCTTCGTTCTTGCCTGTTAGGGACCGGTCGGCTCGTAGTTCAAGGTGCGTGTTGGGTATCGATTCCCTGCGTTGTATACGAGTGTAGACGAATATTGTTGTGGTATATATATATATGTGTGTGTGTGTGTGTGTGCGTGTGGGTGTGTGTGCGTGTGGGTGTGTGTGCGTGTGGGTGTGTGTGCGTGTGGGTGTGTGTGCGTGTGGGTGTGTGTGCGTGTGTGCGCGCGCGTGTGTGTGTGTGTGTGTGTGTGTGTGTGTGTGTGTGTGTGTGTGTGTGTGTGCGTGTGTGCGTGTGCGTGTGTGCGTGCGTGTGTGCGTGTGTGTGCGTGTGTGTGTGTGTGTGTGTGTGTGTGTGTGTGTGTGTGTGTGTGTGTGTGTGTGTGTGTGTGTGTGTGTGTGTGTGTGTGTGCATATATATGTGTGTGTAGGTATATATATATATACATATATGTATATATGTGTGTGTGTGTGTGTGTGTGTGTGTGTCTGTGTGTATGTGTATATACAGACACACATAAACAAAGCAAAACACGTCAGTGAAATCCGCTCTCCTCCCACACAAGATGAACCTTCGAACGCTGTCTTGCTGGTTGGCCGTGGTTGTGTGCGCGACCTGCACGGGCGTCGCGGGCGGCGTGGGTGCTGTGGTCGAGGACTTGCCACCTCCTGAGAAGCCCAGCAAGATCCTCATGCTCCTCCCGATATCCAGCAGGAGTGACGTGGAGGTGTTCGTGTCCTACGCCGAGGCCCTGGCTTATCGTGGCCACAGGGTAAGACTGGGCGTGCGGGGTGGGAGGGTCGCGGGTCTAGTTGGAAGAGAGGAAACCATTTTTTTAAAATAAGTTGATTAATTATCGTCGGCGTTATCTTAATCCCCTTCGTATCATCATCAGCAGCAGCAGTATCACCCTCATCATCATTCGTCATAATCATCACCACCACCACCACACAATCATCATCACCATCACCATTACGACCACCATCACCGTCATCATCCTTACAACCACCACCACCACCTTCACTATCTCCATCTCTATCATCATTATCATCACCACCAACTCCATCTCCATCTCTATCATCATCATCATCACCACCATCTATACTCCATCTCCATCATCATTATCATTTCTCCTCACCAGTCCCCCTAGCACTGTGTCTGAAATACGAAAAATCCCTTATCCAAGGACACAGGCATAGCAACACACCGTATCTCATCCAGAGATTTAAAATACACACACTTCATAGATACCTAAGGTCAAAGTGTCAAATAGTACAAGTTAGATACATACTTAGAGACACATATACTTTAATGTGCAGCGCTGACAAGTAAAATTTGTTTT